GCAAACCAGGCAAACGTGGAGGGGGACGGTATTTAAAAAAAGAAAAAAAAAAAGAGTCATTGTTATATACTTACTCCTTGGTAAAAGTATTTAGTTTCTACTAAAGTTTCTCCTTATTTTTAGGTATGTCTGTTATAGCAGCAAAGAACATACTAAACTGTTTGCCGGGCTTAGAGACTTGTTTCTTTTTAAGGAAAAGCCAAGCTTCTGATCTATTAAAGCTGAAGAGCGAACCTGCAACTCTTCATTCAGAGACGCAGAGAACAGGGTGAACCGCGGCTCCTCTGCTCTCCAACACAGGCCGCGGCACAGCGCGCCGGCCGCGCGCCTCGCCAGCCCGCGGCGCCAAGCCCTGCGGCGCCCTCCCCAAGAGGCGGACCAGGCTGAGCCCTGCACGCGCGGCGGCGCCGCCAGGGACCTCTTCCGGGCATGCATGAACGCAAACATGCCAAAATTTGCAGCTGGGGAACATCTGAGGCCACTTTATCCAAACTCTTCATGCACCACTATAACTACACACAGGCAGGGCAGCCGCATAACTTGAACAGAATTTTTAAATTTTTTAAAATGAATAGCTGTAGGGGAAGCTAGCTCAGACTGTACAGCTACTTGGGGAATGGAAGAGTACAAAGCAACTGTTCTGTACAAAGAATTTCCATCTCCAGAACAATTAATGTTTGACCAGCAAATTCACCTCTTCATTCTTACTTGAATACGGGGTAAATCCTGGACAGCCCCGGCAGTTTCCTGCACCAGGAAAGCTGGGGTTTCCGGGAAAGGGTAATGCAGACAGACTAGACTCAAAGACTATAGAGCAAACTATCAGCAAAATGCTAATGCGAAGGAGGACAGCGCCTGTATGGTTGCTTCTCCCAGAGGCATGCAGAAAACCAAGTCTGAATGAGCCAAAAAAAAAGGAAAAGTTCTCTGCTAATTGCACAGTGCATAAATAGTGAGCACTGACGATAATTAATAATAAATTCAGTTGTTTTACTCCTGCCTGATTGACACAAGGAAAGCCAGCACCAGTCCTAAGTTTGTGCAAGTGGCTACAAGGTCACAAAACATTTAGATTGCTTGTAACCAACTTGAAAATTATTAAAAATTGGTTAACCAACGGTTAAGAAGTCAGACATGACAATCTTCAGATGCCAATAAAAGCACCTTTCCTGTAAAGCCATGAAACGAAATATTTTTTTTAGAAACAACAACAACAAAAAAAAACCTCGTCCAATTAATTTTCTGAAATCTCATTAAAAAATTTAGCCCAAGTCATACACTCTGACCTGAATTTTAATTACCTTTAGGCTGCATATGAGATGTTTTTCTGATATTTGCACTGCATCATTAATTTTAAAGCCACCTTTTCCTCGCTTCTAAAGTGCATACTTCACGTGAATGACATTTACTGTAAACTAATTTCACCTTTAAAAGACATCTGTGATAGTAGACGGGGAAGCTTCAGCCCCCACAGCTGAACAGATATACATTATAAGCAATGATTTACTTCCATCTCTTTATGACGTTCCAAATTGTACACTCATCTCCATTCAGTGGCACCTACTTGAAAAGAGTTTTGTATATTTTAAGATTGAAATTTCACTGTGGATTTATAAACTCGCATTAGAATAGATTGATTTAAAAATGTTTTTCTTCCCCCCAAGCTCACCAACAGACTAGGAAACCGCGGGCTTTAAATATTCAAATAGGTAGTCCAGTAATTATTGAAGAATACATCAGCTCTTTCATTTTGCAGCTTCTAAACTGAACTACATAATCATCATAAAATAGCCTGAACCTGAACTGCTATTTAGAACTTAAAGTTTGAAATTCCAACTAGATTCTTCAGCAAAGCTTTAACATCTCTATCAGCATATATTTGTACTAGCCAATAACAAGGAGAGAAGACAAACACCAGCTTTAAAATAGCAGATCAAGCTGACATTCACATCAGCAAAGAAATTCATATTAACAAATAAATAAGCTAAGCACGTCAGAAAATGATAAACTGAAGACAGTCTTTGCTGCTAGATGACCTAGCTGATATACCTTAAATTAGCAGGCCAAAATGAAGTTACCATGAACATATCTATTGCTAAAATGTTTAGTAAGTATATAAAAGGATTGTTTAGAAGTGAGTAACTATGTTTATATAATACAAATGTTTAGTCAAAAATTATAGGTCCATATTTTTTTTTATATCTCTGATTTACTCCGCAATGAGTTTTAATTCTTATTGCTATATAATCTGGAGATGTAAACGACTGACACCTTCACACAGGAACATTACTAGAAAACACTTTTCTTCTTTTCAAGAAACTTCATCCGAATAATGCCAGGCAGGTAACGTAGCCAGAAGCTAAATAAGCTATCTTACTGGGCCTTTTTCATATTTATATATTCACTTATTCCAATTAGAAAACTTCTAAATACAAAGCTCTATTGCGAGTCACGAGGAAAAGGTTCAGCAAAACTCTATGAACAGCGCAAGCGAGGAGCTAGGGACGGCTCTAAGCTAGCGCTGCAAGTCTTTCGGGGCAAGTTTGCAAAAAAACCAAACCTCTGACGTGCAGTCCATTTCTCTCTTGAAGTCAAAATAATATGTCTTTTTTATATCTACAGCTTATAAGAAACATATATCAAGGAGTTAGAGCAGAATTACTATATCCTCAAATTTATATACTAAGAAATTGTTCCAGAATACAAATCAGGTGCGACGGGAGCAGAAGAGACAGGAAGGCAACCGCAAGCGGAGCTGGCGCCGACCGTTGACACAGCGAAAAAGCCTCCCCCCGCCCCGACCTGGGCGGCAAGCTCTTCCCGACCACACTGCCCCTGAACTACCGCAGTTAGAGACAGACAGGAGGAAAAGCCCAAGGCGCCCTCAGCCCTACGCTGACTAGTTATATGACAATAGGCAACTTGTCTCCAACTTTCACCCGTAACACAGAAATAACCGTCAGACAGAAAAAAACACTCCAAGCAGCAGAGGAAAAATAGAAAAGTCTTCTGGCAGAGGAGCTCAGTCTTGCACTGGTCTTCTTGGAGGCCAGACAGTAATTTTGAAAGAAAGCGGTGGGGGGAAGCGAGGACCATTCCATATAAGAACTTTCTCCTCATCTGATACTCTAAAAGATCAAATTGTGTCTATTCTACTTAAGCTTTAATCCCTGTCATGCTTGATACTTTTCATAAGACAAGTTTGACCAAAATTTCCTTCCCAAGTTCTCTCTCTCTCTCTCTCACACCCACAAGCTATTACATCGCATGTCTATTCTGAAGGCATAAGCAATGTAAAGAAATGACGTAATTTTGGATTCTACCAGGTAACAGGTACCAGAAAATTGAAAACGGCATATAATTATGTTCATGCAAAGTGGAAAATCAAAAACACATAATAAGCAATCATACCATGCCATCAATGTTTTACATAGTCTGTCCTTTAAATATTATAATTTTTGTTTATTTCTACACTGAGTTTGCTGGAGAGGCATTTTTCAAATCCCTAATTTCCCTATATATTTTCTTACATATTCCCTATATGTTTCCCTTTTTTTTTTTTTTTTAAAGACAGAAAAAAACCTCCAAATTTTTGCTGCAGTCATATCTCCCTCCTAAACCGCTCTCAGAGTAGTTAATACACTCAGAGAGCTCCATTAACATAACTTGGATATTAACAGATTTGAGGGGCATCTTCACTAAACAATGACCATACAGCAAAATGAGCCCACTCAGCATCAGCATAACAGCAGAACACAGATTATTAGCTTCTAATTACACTTAACTATGTCATTACAAATTCTAACATGCGCTCCAAGATGCCATGAACGTATCTGCTGCACAGGAACACTTCCTAATCTTGTTCATGAAATAATTACAGGGGCTCTATCCTGCCAAATGAGGCAGTAATTAACCCTAATTGCTCAAAATGCAACTGGCTAATTCTAAGAGATTAATCAAGGGGATTCAATTATTATTAAATGACTTAATATGACAAATTGCTACATTAGGGGAGGGGGGCTTTGCTCCGTACAATGTATTTTCAAAGCAGTGCTGCACAAAATACATTCATCCCACCATGTGTGCATATGTAACTTACTGTTTTTGCAAATCTCAGGCTGTTTTGTTATTGCTTTCCTAATAACCTTTTCCTACGTAAGGAACCTTGAACACCACTGGACTGCACGCTTAGGATGACAAATTAACACCCACACTCCCCTCCCCAAGGTAATATTCAGCCGGAGTCCCAGAATTATTCTCTCTTATGGCTCTTCCACAATGGTTTTTGTTCACTCCTTGCAATATGTAACAGGGAAAACTTAACTTCCCTGATAAACAGTCAAACATTCTAAAAAAAGCAAGCAGCCAAAATTCACAAAACACAAATGGGATGTTTCGAGTGAAAGTACTGGAGCTGCATTGCATAAAGGTGTAACCTGACTTTTATCCCCATTCTGCAGAGCGGGGGCGAGGAGAACGAAACGTTACAGCAGCACAGGCAAAACATGCTGAAGGAGAAAGCTTCCAGAGGCTCTCAGCACTTAGTCAGAGATCCTACAGTCCCGTGCAGGATGACCTTTTTCTTGTACTCAGTAATTATCTCTTCAGAATTTATTATTAAACTGTGTGAGGAGATACAGAAGTACATTTATCCACTGACATTGAAACAACTGCTTTTCTTTGGCCTTTCCTTTACAGAATCAAAGAGCAGAGAAAGTCAACACAGTACAAGTGTTTATAAGCTGATTTAAAAATACCTGCTCTAAGCAAAACAAAGCATTTCCTTTTTCTCTTATTATGATCAAAAATTGGATTCAGGAAACTCTGGCTGGCTGGCAAAATCCAAAATGTGATAAACCTTTTAACTGCCCTAATCTCAGTATAAACAAAAGAAAGGAGAAAAAGAAAAAACAAACCTTAACACTAAGAACTCCGTAGGCCCTTACGAAAGGGAGCGAAGAAAACAGAGGAGGAGAAAGCCGCGAGACACACGCTCTTACCTGAGGATCATGCTGATACTCTTGTCCTGGCAGCTTGCACAGAGGGCTGTTCTGGTCCCCGAGATGATGGGGGTGGTTATGTTGTCCTTCCATGGTAACATACCAAACTGCCTTACAACTCTGCTGGCATTAAAAGAAACGAGAGAGAAAGAAGTCTCATCACTGCCAACCCAACACTGAAAGCAAAAACCCTTTCTAGGGGTGTGCCTACACGTGGTTGTACATCGAGACAGCAAGAACTGATTCCTCCCCTTTTTTCCTCTGATTGACTCACACATAAAATTCTCAAAAAAAAGGAAACCTTTAGCTACCGCAAGCCCCACAAAAGCTTTGCCTGTCGCTGACAAACCAGAACACGTACGCTGACGAACGCAAGCTAGAAGAAAGCGGCAACAGGTCAAGCATATCCTAACTCTTGAGAGTTAACAGAGCAAATACTGATATCAAAAATATTACTGGTTTTCAAAAATACTTTTATAAGCAAAACAGCAGAAAAACGATTTTCGGAGGGTAAGCTTTGGCCAGTGGTACGTTGCCTATCCAAGGCACTGCTTTTGTCGACTCAAATTTTGCAAGAGGAGTTAGCATTACCTCGTCTAAAACTGCCCAATCTAGATGCCTAACATAATCAGATAGTTAGTGAGCAATTCAATAAAGGTTAGCATATTTTCTACTTGTAAAATGAGACAAAAAAAAAGTCACGAGAAAGTTGATACTGTTTCTCTTAATATTCAAAGTTTCTCCATAAAATTCACAGTGTTACTTAGTCCTCCTTTGAGATATATGTGTTGTCTCTGCATTATTTTTACTGATCTCCCTAATAACAGTTTCCAGGTGCAAGAAGGCATTTCCCAGTGCATACCTCCCACCTCCCGACCAGGCATCTTGTTATTTTTCCTCTTTCTGAGAGGACTACTACGTTGCTGAGAAGAAAGGACCTTTTTTTTTTTTTTTTTTTTTTAAATAAATGAAACATGCTTCAAGTTGTACACTTATTTGCACATAGTAAGGATGGCTGAGAGGTCCTAAACCAATCTCAATCTTGGAGAGCAAAGAAAAAAAAGGTTTAGAGGGGGGAGGGGAGGGTTTAAAAAAAAAAAAAAAAAAAAAGGCAGCACACAAGCTATGCAAGTAGCTCCCAAACAACTTTGAGCCTTTCTGCTCTGACCAGAAGTAATTTAACTGGAATAGAAATTAAAGACATTCTATACATTAAAGATTCATCTGCCTTTTGAAGGTCAAAAATGAATCAATCTCAATGGATCACAGGATACCACTTTCCAACCTACTCTGAAGCATCACAGCAATCCCTGTAAACCAGAAAACAAAACCTAAGTTACTGCCCTGGATTATTTGGCTGGGAATTTATACAACATAAGGCACAGAGTGGCACTGGACCACAGTTCTAGCCATCTTGAATTATGCTCATAGACAGAGAGATGAGATGAGAGATGAGAAGAGTAACTTCTGCTTCCGACTCCATAAATCATGAGAAAAACTTCACGTTCAAAGGGGTTGTAGAGCTTTATTCTTTGAGCCCAGGAACCGACTGACCAAGAGGAAGCTGTCAGGAAAACGTTACAAATTCCTCTGACAGTGATGCGAACAGATACAATTAGCTATCCTCGTCATTCAGCAGCCACTACACAACAAATTATAGCAAGTTGTACGTTTTCAGACTAGAGTGGAGGGGGACGAAGCACACAGAACACAAATAACCATCTCACCTATTTGCAGTATTTCCTGCAGTCCTAAGGAATTTCCAAGTGAATCTTACACTACTTGCTTTTAAAGCGTTCTGCTGTTCGAAAATCTGAGGCATACACAATCAGACGTGATGCAAAAAGGCATGCTTTTCTTTAAATCACATTTGTTAAACTCTGGTTTGGAGTCTGCATCTTCTAAACTTTCATAATACTTAACTTTCTACATTAAACTGAATCCAACCTCCCACATGTTCTCCCAGAGATAGTAATAAGTAATTCAAACATGGGAATGACCAAAACTTTCATTATCACTTTGGAAGGACTCTTCCACTCTTAAGAAATTTGGAATAATAGTTATTCATCTATTCCAACGGTCCATCCAAGTCCAACACACAGCGTTTGCCAGTACAACTCCCTTCCTACCGTTCATCGCCATTGTGCAGGAATATCACGCGTGTGGGAAACTAAACTACCTCAGTACCAAAATAAGCCATCCTTGCTCACGAATCTGGTTTCTTTGAGACTGCTCTAAGCGGTTTCCAGCCTAGCCTCTCACAAGGACCCTCCGTGCAGGGGGAGGGCTCAGACGCTGCCGTTAGCCCAACACGGCTGAAATGACAGTCTGTTCGCTTTAAAAATGGGACCCTAAACTGCAGCAGTTGTAAACAGCTGCCTCTCAAGTATCTGAGATGTTCCTAGGGCAGGAACACCACTGCGATCGCAGACCAGTTAACCCCACTTCGACTTCAGAGCTCTACACAGACGGGAGGAACACTGCAGTAAACAGAATACCACCGAGGGCTCGTACCTGCTTTTCGGCCTAAAAGGCCTTCCCGACACAGCTTCTGCTTGCCTGAGCACGTAGCAGAGCTCTTCTAGAGAGCACAGCCCTGCTCCCAGCCCCGGCACCAACCCTGCTAAGTTCATCAGCTGCTCTCGAGACACTTTCTGAGTGGATTACAGTACTACTCAGCGCCACTTCGGGGGCCAGGCTGCAGCCTGGAGAGCAAAGCCCATCCTCAGAAATACGCTGAGAGCGTATCCAGAACACACGCAAACCTCCTTCCCCCCCCAAGGACTGCATGCAGGGGGGTTGGCTTATTAAATAATGTCATTCATTGCTAGTTATTCAATATCCACACACGCTCCAGGTAATATGCCATTTTTGAACTGCCTTGGTGCCGGTCCATCACGGTGGCCAGCCGTGCGACGGCGAAAGGGACGGCTTAACGGCCAACACAAGCATTTGCAGAAACTTCTTTCAGGAGTTTTGGCAAGTATTCATGCAGTGAAAGAGCACAACCTGATCTCATTAGTGTATTAATAGTGCATGCCTGGCATTTGAGCAATGACTAATTCTTAATTTAAAATACACAAGTATTTTAAAAATTTTCGGGGGGGGGGGGAAGAAAACACGATGCAGAAGAATTTCTGCAGCAAGTTGGGCTTCGCTCTTTTAACAGTTGTCAGCTAAACAAGCCTTTAGCTCTGGCAGATCTTTCCCGATCGCAGACCAGTTAACCCCACTTCGACTTCAGAGCTCTACACAGACGGGAGGAACACTGCAGTAAACAGAATACCACCGAGGGCTCGTACCTGCTTTTCGGCCTAAAAGGCCTTCCCGACACAGCTTCTGCTTGCCTGAGCACGTAGCAGAGCTCTTCTAGAGAGCACAGCCCTGCTCCCAGCCCCGGCACCAACCCTGCTAAGTTCATCAGCTGCTCTCGAGACACTTTCTGAGTGGATTACAGTACTACTCAGCGCCACTTCGGGGGCCAGGCTGCAGCCTGGAGAGCAAAGCCCATCCTCAGAAATACGCTGAGAGCGTATCCAGAACACACGCAAACCTCCTTCCCCCCCCAAGGACTGCATGCAGGGGGGTTGGCTTATTAAATAATGTCATTCATTGCTAGTTATTCAATATCCACACACGCTCCAGGTAATATGCCATTTTTGAACTGCCTTGGTGCCGGTCCATCACGGTGGCCAGCCGTGCGACGGCGAAAGGGACGGCTTAACGGCCAACACAAGCATTTGCAGAAACTTCTTTCAGGAGTTTTGGCAAGTATTCATGCAGTGAAAGAGCACAACCTGATCTCATTAGTGTATTAATAGTGCATGCCTGGCATTTGAGCAATGACTAATTCTTAATTTAAAATACACAAGTATTTTAAAAATTTTCGGGGGGGGGGGGAAGAAAACACGATGCAGAAGAATTTCCGCAGCAAGTTGGGCTTCGCTCTTTTAACAGTTGTCAGCTAAACAAGCCTTTAGCTCTGGCAGATCTTTCCCCAACATCAACTACCATTAAAAAAAAAAGCTCTTCTTGTGTTCTTAAGTGTATGAATTCTCACAATAATAAAAAATTAACGCTTGAGCGTTTTCAAATCACCAATATTTAGCATCAGCACTACATTAACCATCAACCCGACAGCACTCTTCTACCTAATTCTCCAAGTCTGTGACACTCTGCATGTGTTATTTGTGTGTACATAACACGGGGGAATTTTCAAGTGGCAAAATAACAAAGGCAGAGGCCTACCTTTAGACCGAATTAATTTGCCTATTTTTCCCACAGTGTTGCTGATTTGATTACGAAAAGAGGTTTTTCCCTCTGAGGCAAACATCAAGGCTGCTGCGGCTTTACTGAACTACAGCAAGCCAAGTTACCCAAACGACTGGCACGCTCCCGGTCACATACCTGGGCATCATCTTTGCTCAAATTTATGCTAGAACAGAAAACAAACGCTCTCATGAGGAAGCGGCTGTGAGAGCCAGAATATCCGCGGCATTTAAAAGGGCTAATGCATGGGTTGCTCTCAATAAAGAAAGTTTTTCAAAATCTCTCCTGTGAAACTCCACTGGAGGCAGAATAATCACCGAGAGTAGGAAGAAGCCTGATTTTAACATTCCTTCAGTATCGGTTATCTGTAGATTTATCAGTAGCAAGTGACTAATTAAAAAGCAAAAATATGTCTCTAACATTAAACTGCCCTACAAAATTTCTATGCTGCATTAAACTGTCAGAACTATCTTAATTATTTTATTATTCCCAATTTTAAGAAAGGTTGCTTACTTGAAGGGAGAACGTAGCACAAACTTCTTTCTTTTCTAAGTCCACAAGCACAGAGAAAGGCCTACCGGTACAGCCTGCAGTTTAGTGACGGCCTCACGTCGTGCCTCTTATCTCCAAAGGAATTCAGAAATTTTACATTTACAGCCTCGAGATAAAAGGCACGGCCATGCAGTGTCAGGCAAAACACATGGAGTCTAACTCTGGTCCAGCACCACCTCTCCTGCATCCTGCCTTAGGAAAGCAGTCAAAGGCAAAAAGAGAAAGGTAGTTATTTCTGAATGAGAAACCAAGTCATCTGACCACATCCAACTCTGGGGCGCTCCTCGGAGAGCCCTAACTTG